CAGATGAGCGGCTTTCCTTCAAGCCACATGTCTTCACAAGCTAAATAAACAAAGTCCCATGGCATTACCATGATTTTGCACATGTACTATGGTAATACCGTGGTATACTAATGCCATTACTGGCTTTGTTAGCCGTCTGGATCCTCTAGTGCATTTATTTTACTTCAAATTCTCTCATAAGACTGAAGAGCATCATCTCTCCGGCTCTGAGATGTATTTTTCCTGTAGGTTTGAGGTGAAAGAAGAGGCTGGTTCCCATGAATCAGTGCAGACATGAGAGCGGTTTATTAGTGCGCTTCTGACTTCACGTCTGACGGCCCTTTAATGAGAAACACCGGCTCTATTAGTGCTGCTTTCACAGAAACACTAGAAGATACAGATATGACCCGAAAATATATTGTTACACTGTAGAAAGATATTACAGCATTATGATCAGTAAGTAATGGCAACGTGTTTTAGTTTAACTTATCAAAATAATTCAACAAAATTCAACTTCATTCATTATGATATAACTCAAGTTAAAATGACAATTTGATTCAACTTAAAAAATTTTAAAGCAGCGATGGATATTTTTCAGTGTTCATATAAAGTAACTTATTTATATAAGTAAACGTATTTCAGATTGAAAAGTTTCAAATTTCCCTGCTTTATATTTCTGTGTTTTTGTTGTTTTTGATTGTTTTGAATAGTTTTTTTTTCTGATATGTTTATATTTAATGTTATTTTCCCTGCTAGAATATATATTTTCCAAAATGTATATAAATGTATATACTAGGGTTGGTCAAGTTAACACGTTATTATCGCGTTAACGCATTAATTAATTAACGCCGACAATTATTTTATCGCGCATTAATGCCATTTTTTATTATTATGAATATCTGTTGCTCACTATTATTTAATAAAATGTATATAATATATATATATTTTTTTTCTTATTTCTGTCAATATATTTAGCCATTTATACAGAAAAAGCAGCAAGACTATCTGTTTTTTTCTTCACTACAATTTCATTTATTTATTTCTTTTTTTGACAAATCCTTTTTTACATGCAAATGTGTTCCCTTGGAATCTATGTCATGCAAATGCATTCATATATTATTATGAATATTAATATTATTACTTAAATTAATTAAATATTCCATTTAAATACATTCAAAATCATTATTTTAATTGACTTTTTTTTTTTAAGTTGTATGACTTACAGTATCACCTTTAGAATGTGAAAAATGTTCCTCCTGCAAGATAACATTTATTCAGTCTTTCCCTTGACCTTCTGTCGCGACCGCGAGACTGTAAAAGTACATTTACCGCAGTGGGAAGCGGGTTGATTGTGTAAATGTGCATGTGAGAGCTCAATCACAGATAAAGTGTGTTCAGGGCTCTGCGTTTCTAACATGCTGTTTGTAAAAAGCCAGAAACGGACTGCAGACTGATGCCATGATGGTGGACGGTGGGACTGTCCTCACGACTGTCCTCACACAGCTGTCATTCGCTGAATTATTCACCAAAACGCTGCATCTCTGTCTCTTCTCTCAGGGTGATCCGGGGCCCGAGGGACCCCGCGGCTTTCCTGGCATTGTGGGACCTCAGGTAACGTCCCGTCACGTCACGACTCAGTGTTTCTGTCACCTGATTGGCTGGACACTGAAGATCTTGTTCTCTCATTGGCAGGGCCTGACCGGAGGGGCGGGGCCTCCTGGAATGAAAGGTGATAAGGTGATTTAAATATTTCTATTATTGCAGCGAACATGCGAACTTATGAGATTAATGTGTTGCAGAAATGAACTTGAATTCGTTTATGTTTCTCATGACCTTAAAGGCTTCTGAAAGTAGTTTTATTGAGAAATAGAAGATGTTCATTTGTGAAATCTTTTAAAAACGGCAAATTACTACATTTGTGATGATTTTAAAAGCTTACAAAACTAGTTCTGTAGATAAATAAAAGATATGTCCACAGTTATGTTGTAACTATATTATAGCTATAACTGAAACCTTGAAAAACTATTTTTTGTTGCTTGAAATAAAATAAACAAAATGCATAAATGAATAAATAAATAATAATATAATAAAATGCAAATTTTATAAAATGAAGACAAAATATAAATTTTATTTTATGCAGTTTCCAAGCATTTCTCTTAACTTGGTGTACTAAAATAACTAAAAGTAATTGTTAAAAAAAACTATATAGGTATGTTTAAAAATAAAAACAATAACTAATATAAATGACCAAAACACACAACGAAATTACAGAAACTTACAGAAATGAAAATGAAAATGGAAAATACAAAAATAAAAACGAATTGAAATGTGTATATATGTATTGTTACTTGAAATAAAATGAATGTTAACTGAGATAATAAATAAATAAATAACCTTAAACTTATTTTATTTCAGCTAGTTTCCTGCAGTGCTTCTCATTCTCATTTATTTTAACATGATGTACTAAAATAACTAAAACTAAAACTGAAATAAAAAAAATAGATATATATTTAAAAAATGGGGGGAAAAAATGTCAATGACAAAATCTTTAACTAAAATTAAAATGAAAGTACAAAAATAAAAACTATTTAAAAAAAAAACTAAAAAATCTATGAAACTGTATCTCAATGATAATAAAATAACACTGGCTGGAATCTAGACAAAGAAAAGCTCAAATATGAAAAGGTTTTGTTTTTCATCACATCGTTTCCAGACAGTCATTTGTGTTATTTCTGAGTTTTCATCACTGCAGTATTATTCTAACACGTGGAAACTGTATGCAAACTCTTGACTGCTGCTGTATATACAATATACTGTATATGCATGCATGAGATCCAGTTCAGGCCTGCTGTGCTCTGGTCCTATGTCTCCTCTCTACTCTGTAATCCCGATGCTGTATGATTTAGGCTGAACCTGGATTGAGGGGTGAACCGGGAGAGACTGGCTTTCAGGGCGACAAGGTGAGTGTCAAGATGAAACAGTATGCTTGGTTTATATGGTCATGAAATAGCATCAGTCTGTCTGTCTGACATTTGTGCACTGATTAGTATATTCCCTTGTGTCTGAAAGTTTGGTGCATGATAGGAATCTGCTGCAGGAATCTCTATAAATGCATTATTAGGCCTTTAAGATTTATGCTTTTGAATTGCATGCTAAATATCCATTCATTTGAATTTCACAGATTTAACATATACTAAAAAACTATTATGCTTTATGTGTTACATGCTTGTCTGTCATAAATACATGAAACGGGTTCAGATTCTTAAAAAGTCATTGCATAGTTTATTATTAACTTTTTGCATCTATTTAAATTTACATTTAGTCATTTAGCAGACGCTTTTATCCAAAGTGACTTACAAATGAGGAATATTTAAATTATAAATTAAATCAATTGTTTTGTTTAATATTATTTGTATCATTTTTATACCTTTTATATTTTATATTTAGCGTGGTTTTTATTGCATCTATTTAAATAGAATAACATTTCCATTTTTAATTATTATATTGTTTTTATTTATATATATTTTATCTATACATATTTAATCGTAAAATTTAAATAAATTGTGTTTTGCTATAGAAAAAGTATATATATATATATATATATATATA